CTCGGGTACCCAAATTACAGATGAGTGTATGAGAGTGTTTTTGGGTTGGAATAGTGGTCTGAACGTTAAAAATTATGTTTATTTGAACAAGTTTGCCAATCTGCATGATCAAACTATGAACGGGGTTTCATATTTGGGATTTAATGTTAAAATGTGGGTTACTCATTGGTGACTTTTAACAAAAAAAAAAAAAAAAAAATAGAAAATCTCTCTGAACTAGTTTGTTGATCTTATAAAAACAAGTCATTTAGTGCAAAAAAGTAACTAAATCTAATATGCAGAATTAGATGGTGGTAGCGGTGTCCCCCAAACACTCTTCTTCTCTTTTTAATCGTAAGAACCCCCCGTTGTCACTGTCTACAACCGATTATGATTTTCTTATTTGTTCAAAACATAGCTAAAATACATTTGAAATCAATCAATTAACTGATCAAGCCAAGTAGTGCTCCGAAAGCGCAAGGCATCATAGGTACGAATTCACAGCCCAAACTAGTTGACATATCACATTTTTTTAAATTCCAACATACATATAAATTTTCCCAAAAAACAAACAGCTATTTTTTAATAAAAAAAATTCAATTTAAAAAAATTATAAAAGACAAAAATTTTAAATTTATAATTTGAAATACGTAGCCAGTGATTATTATCTTATTTTTCCACACCTGAATGCCAATTTTGGTGAGAATCGCATTACCCATTCTCCCTGTGAATTGGTACCAAAGATGAAAAATTCACTACTTTCAAGCTCCATATCTCGCTTAATATGCAAAATAAAAAAAATTTCTTATATATTTGTATCTCTAATTTTTAGTACAATGAACAATAACAAAAAATCAGACATGAAAATTTTTGACCAAACACCCTTAAGGAAACCCTCTTCAATGGAGTAAGAAAAACGGTTAAAATATAATTATTTAATTTTTTTGAACTTTTTACTGCCATTAGTGTTTCAAATTATTCTATATCAAACATAGGAATCTTTTTCTGACTCAAGTTTTTTTTGTGAGAAAAGAAAAGATGTTTGTGATCTTATAGGGGTTATTTTTACCTAGGGTTATTCCTTTTGCAGTATAGGACTAGCGGGGCTGTGAATGATAAAATATTTTCCCCTAGCAATAAGAACCATCTGAAATGTGTATGTGAATACCGTTGCGGTTTGCACATTATGATTTTTTAATTAATCAATTAACCTTTTACTAAATTACCACAATATTACCTAACTTGTTTGGCTAAACATGTCAGAACACGACACTTGCCTCAGTACAACCTGTAGCCCGCCTTTGGCATGTTACAACACGTTGATTTAGTGGCGTCACCTACAGCCCATCTGAGGAAACATAAACACTCAGCTATAAATAACAATTCAACCAATAGAGACGCCTACATTAGCTGGCTGCAGCCAATTAGTGGCCCAGTAAGGCAGTCTTCTACGGCTTTTACCACTTGATGTCTTCATTTGTACCTCACAGGTGTGCTTATGTAATGTTAAATCAGGTAACAATCTAATATGAAAAAAGTATATTGGTGTCAAACTTGGGGTAGAGTATACCATGAAAGCTGCTTAAAAATTGCTTTATCTGAAGAAAAATCATATTAACAATTATTAATGAAGTGTCTCTAAGGTAAGTTTTTTTCATAGAAAAAGTAGTTTCCATAAAAGATATTGCATTTCCCAGAACATATCATGTAAGGATGTAAACTGATGGTCCTAATGAACCAGGACCAAAAAGTCTGGCCATTTTCCTGGTTCCATTTGTAAGTGGCTTCAAAAAATGATTGACTGAAAAATAGTTACATGTTTGGTAAAAAACTTAATGGGCATTTTTTTATGACCTTAATTGCAGTTTTGAGTCAAGAAACCGGCAGTCCTTCATTAGGCTTGTAATATATGTCTCTAGTTCAAAACAGCTGATGGCAACTCGTTTATGTCATCACTTTATTAAAGTGATGTTATATAATGAATCATTCTCTTTCGTAGTTTTAATTTTCAAGCTTTAAGTGCAAAGCGTTACATTTACATTACCCGTTGAAATTGTGATATTGTGTGTGTGTTGAAATTGTGTTTTAATAATTAGTACATAATAAGGTTTGATTATGTTGAGAATTGTCAGATTTATTTTGTATTTAAATAACATTCATTTTAACGAATACTTAAGTCGGCTGGTACAGGGAAGGAAAAATATTGTATAAAATAAATGAATTTATCAAAATATATCTATAAATAATCTTAATAAAACAGTTTCCTGCTTTAATTACCTTAAACTTTTTATCCATAAGAATAACATGGGATTTTAAATGTGCATTTTTTGGGAAGTATATCCGTAACCTTAAATTTTACAACACATTGATGTAAAACATTTTTTGTTTTTTTTTAACCTCTACAAATTTTGATAAAAAGAAGTTGTAAAATTTCATGTTTGGGGGGGGGGACAAAAATGGAAAAATTCAATTTTTACCCCATTCCCATAGTTTGATCATGATGGTTCTTTGGATTTGTTTGAATAATGTTTGAATGTAAATTTACATATTTGTACCAAATTTCTTTAAAATAAGGTGATTTTTACCTAAGCTATCACGCTAATGGACACACATATATGAATTTGAACAAATGGTGTTTTTGTTCTCCTGGGGACTTCAAACAAAAAAATTAAATTGCTCCTGGGTCCACCTCTTACCACGAGACGTACAGTAATAGCTTATACACTATATAAGAAATTCGCTAATATCAAAATGATATAAAACCCGATCTGTTGTATTATAAGTCTGCCTAAATAGACGAGTTGAGTCACCCAGATTTATGTGTGCATTATTTGACCATGCAGTGTAAGTGTAATGCAGCAGGAAGCCGTATGTCAAGACACCTGAGTCTCCCAATTACCTCCGTGTGACAGGTTTATGGTGTTTTATGGTGTAATCTGTCCAGTCACAGCTACAGGGATGTAGAGTATTTGTAGCCACTAGCCGTGCAGATGCAGAGGTGGACAGGATTACAAACGGCATTAATTAGGTTTACATGCTGCAACTATGTTGTATAAATGCACACTTGGTGTGAGGATAAAGAATATTGTTTAAACTATTTGAATTTTACTCTTATTTAAATTTTTTTACTTTACAAAACCCTAAATTGATGAAGAATCAAGTGTATATAATTTTTAAATTACGTTTAAAATTATTACGATTACAAAATGAAACTCGATTGAAATATTGTGTAATAAAACTACAGCATGTTTTGGCAAACTGTCCACTGAATTCAAGGCACAAATAAACTGACCTTTTTTAAAATTTAACCACCTCGTAACAAAATTTTACTAGAAAAATATAGAATAAATTGAAATCTGGTGGGGATATTTATTACATTTCAATAATAGCACATCAGACTAACTTTGAAAGCAATTCAACAATCTTAGAAATAGTAGAATATAAAGAACTAAATTTTATGTAGATATCAACATTGATGTACACTGCAAGAATAACTCATAAACACAATCTGTGTACCACTTGAAGAACCCCCAAGTACTTTAACATAATATACTCATACAGGCCTACTGTATTGTTTGCTTTGAGGTATGTCTTTTAATTTATTCAATTCAAAATATTAGGTTTTCTATCGCTATTAAAATTGAAATGGTGAATAAAACAGTAGGCCTAATTTATATGCTCGTATACAATTTTAATCTGGATCCAACCATAAACTATATTTTTAAAACTTACAATGTATCACAAAAAGATACAGAGCCTGTTTTTTGTAGAAAGTGACATAAGAATGTGTTTAGATGAAGCATATAGACTTCAGAAATGAAATGTGTTTATTGTCCTTAGAATTTTCACAAATTATTGACAAAGTCATACAACTGCTAAGGTTTATAGCATAGTCAGTTAATAAATACAGTAAGATAAAATATAGCTAACTACATAAAATGACACATCTTACAATACACATTTTAAATATTACAATTGAATAGGTAATCTTGTTCTTAAGAAAAATTTGTGGCATTGAAAATAATGGAAGTGAGCAAAGTACAGCAACAGAGTAGAGCAATCAGCATATAGATGGTGGAATGGTGATTATCTTGATTTAATTTCACGTCAAGGTGGGCGGAGGGGAAGACGCAGGAAGGGTGGAGTCAGGCAGGAAATGACAACTCGGGAGGTAGTTTCTGTCACCGTCACAGTCGTTTGGCTTACCACGGCCACAACTTGGCTACTGGAAGCAACGGTAGCACTGGTTGAGACATGGTGTAGCCAGCCCAACTTAATATTGTAAATAAACTTGATAAATACATTTTCAGGACTCTGAATATTACAGGAATCCTGCATGGAACCGGAAAATTAGGAAAACTTTCCAATAGCCTTAGGTCAAACGTCCAAGTATTAACAACTTTTGGTTATTTTTCAATGTTGTTGTATGTCAAAGATAATATATTTTGCGTTGTGCTGCAGTCGCGGGATATCACGTTTTATTCTGATCGTAGGAAACTATCGTGTTTTGTTGCATCATGGGACATAATGATGTTGTGATTTTCACGATCCTGTAGTGCTGCGATAGTGGGAAAAGATTACGTTTTGCTGTGACAATTATCTCGCTGAAACTATTACGTTTTGCGGTGTTTGCAGAAGACAATCAGGTTTTTTAGGCCTCCTCAATACCTCCTATGTCCAATCCATATAAACTCCCTTTTCTTTATTTTACCTTTTCTTATTATGAAATCCTGGCCATCTTTGGCCTCATATCAGCGTTTGTAATTACGTTTGGACAATGATTTAAGTTATTTAGAGCCACTTGAAGTCATTCTAGTCAAATTCCCTTTTGTGTTGCATTTGATAAAAACATGGAAATGTATATTCTTTCCATCTTTCCTTAATGTTAACGATCTTGGTTTGTCAAAGCCTTAACAGTTACAGTACTAGTATTTTATGATTGCATCTGTCCAGTAGATCTTAATTTTAATTTTCTTGCATTTGAAGACGTTAAGAGTAAAATATTCTTTTATCTGTTTCAGTTGGAGAAGCTGATTGCCAAGAACTACTTCTTGAACCAGTCCGCAAAGGAGGCATTTAAGGCGTATGTGAGAGCTTACGACTCCCACCATCTGAAGCTCATCTTCGATGTGGCCACCCTGGACCTGGCTATGGTCGCCAAGTCCTTCGGCTTCACAGTGCCTCCTGCTGTTGATCTGCGTATCCTTTTGTTCACCACAAATAGTCAGAATAACCATTGGTAATTGTTGATGACATCGGCCAGATTTGAAACAGTTTCCAGTTGTATACATTTGAATTGTATGTTTTTGGTAGCTTTCAGTAACAAAGTGGTTAGACAGACTGTTAGACTGTTGACGTTTAGGATGCCAGAAATCTTGCCAGGTATTTAAATTGGATCGGACATTAGTCCAGTTGATGATCAAGCCAATGATTTCTCTTTAAAAGTTATCTCCGTGAAAATTCATCACCAAAATTAGCTAACAAGAAATCACAGCCGTTAGTAAAATCCTGTTAGCTAAGTAGTTTCAAAGAAATGTGTTTATGAAGTATGCCATTTTGTGATACCTTTTAGGGACAGTATTGTTTAGAGAAATGTTAAAACAGAAGCTGGATAATGCATATGGTCACACATGCTATATGCTGCTGTCTAATCAACTGTAGCTCAGAATTCAGCCCAACCAACGTAACGCAACCCAACCAGTTTACCAAACTTTGTTAAAGTTTTTAGATCTAAGAACGTTTAATAAATCTCAGTGAGTTTTCCTTAATGAGTTTTTACAGAAGTGTTAAACTCCAAGAACTCAAGACCACGTAAGAGGACGGGAGGTGGAGGGCTTGGCTTTTACAACAACTTGAACAAGAACGACAAATCCAAACCCAACTTCAGATACGTTCAGCCCAAACGATAAATACATTTTGTATAGATTATGTTTTCTATATGTTAACTATATCCATTATTATTTTTACCTTGTGATTTATTTACACTCCTCTTCCATTTTATGTTGAGTCAGTAGCAAAAAGAAAATTCACCATCCCGTGTGAGTCAGTGAATGGTATTTGACTTTTATAAGTATAGATCCTCTTATAGATTTTCCATCCTTATGGATCAGCTGAATAACATGTTAGTTCTGTCCGGTTAATTTATTGTGTGTTTTATTATCTGTTTCTAGTCACAGTATCCAACCAACTTCAAAACTGAATTTCACATAACATTCTATTTGTAGCCATTGGCTTGTCAACAACGCTTATCATTGGTAAGCGGTGAGAGCAACTATGGTGTTTCACGGGGAAAATCACAAAAGTTGCAATAACTTTTTAATTGTAATTTTCACAGCAATTTGGGTTGTACCATTTTAATAAAAAGAGCTATAACATAGTAAATTTTAATTAAAAACCGTTGGATTGTTTGATTTAGAATTAGATTTTTCCGTTACTTTGTAGGGTTTATATAAAAAAAATGAAAAAACACCAGGATGGGAATGACAAGGACTAGTACCCACATACAAAATTTCATCAAAATTATCGAACCACATTGGTCTGCAGCAATGTTGACAGACATGCAGGCAGACTCTGACGACCTGTTTTCGTTATATGTTTATCACCTGCAAAAATCCATCATTACATGGTGTACTACACAAAAAGAATGTTTACCATGCAGTAGTAATGATTGGTAATGTTAGGAGGCTAGGAAGGCTTCCCCAAGTTCTATTGGATGAATGAAGCCTAAAGAAAATGTGATACATTTCATTGCCTTTATCTAAATTAATTATGTTGATTATGTCTCAGGTCTGAGCGAACCTGGGATGTTATTGTAATTTTCTTATTCATATTTTGTTAATAGTTCTATGCATAATGCCATCATTGAACCAGAACCAAATGTTGTAAAAAATTAGTAATGTTTACTATTTTTTTTTTTTTGGATTGTGTTATTGTTTTGTCAACTATTTCAATTTGCATAAACCAAAACTGTACAATGTAGGCCTAAATATTAACTTAAAATAATAATAATAAAAAAATAAAAAAACGAGTGAAAGTGCATCCATACTAATTATTTTCGATTATATTTAAGGTACTTGATAAATCTCGCACTTCAAACATAAAATGGTCTCAAATATGAAATTACTTTATATTCTTGTTATAAAATATAATATACTATTTATTTCAGGTTCAGGAGGACCCATAACTAAGATTTTTACGAAAACAGTACTTTCTCCATACACTATGTATAGGGAGAGAAACTAAAAAATCAATCACATATCATAAAATCCACCCTAAAATAATAGGATAATGTTTAGTCGACATCAGCTTATTCACATCACCAACACGAATCACTCATTAAAACAAGCTTCAGATTTCTAAATTCTAAAAGAAAGAGTATTCGTCTTGCAGTATTCAAAGTTGTATGGCACTTACTTGTTCCCGATACATTTCATACAATATAAACAAAAATAACAAAATCTGGAGACAGCAGGAAAGTTTCGCGTGTCAGCTAGCTCTTGTTTATCAAGCCCAAATGAGCCAAGACTGTGGCAGTCGTCCAGTTGTTGATTTTATAACTCCCGTGACAAAATCCCTGCGGCCACGTCCCACATTCAGGGGGTTCCTCAGGGATCAACACTAGTTGGCTTATTTATGTGTAGCTACTTTGAATGAGAAGTCGCTATTAGTACTAGGTTTTATTGTTTTACTGAACAATAACTTCCATACATTCCGTAGAGAGATTATATTGAAAACTTTATGTTATTTATAAGGCTGAGACAACTAACTGACATCCCCCATGTCAAGGGATTCCAGCTTTAACAGTAACCCCACAATCAATAATTTCTCAAAACTATGCTAGAGGGTTCATTCATTGGCACAGAAGTACGATATGAACTGACGCGACGTGACGAAGGAAAAATCAAACTTACGCTGTAACGGAAATACCTCCATTTGAAGTTAGAATATGTCTTCCCAAAAAAAGTTTTCTTTTGAAATAAAATCATATTACACTTATGAAATCACAAAAGTGTTTAACTACAAAAGATCCATCAATACGATTTTAATACTATTTAAACGTTCTTCCAAAAGAAGATATACCATATAACATACTAATAATAACTCCGATGACGTACGGTATGGGGAATATTTTATTCATTGAATGATCAACCAAATTTGGCAACTAACGCAATTAATGTCGTTATTGTTTTTACACTTGTTGCTAAATGTTCAAAATATGTATATTTCACCCAATTTATCGCAGTTAGATGAATTAACGTAAGCCTTGAAAGTAACCGTCGATTTCGACGGGTTTCACCTAGTTTACAAAAATAATGTCAACACTTAACAAACTCATCCTGTTGATAGTGATTAAATTCTCCTGCAATTGTTACCATAAATATTGCGAAGGTTTAAGTTTTCTCTGTTAGACACTTCTGGAATGTCTGACTAATAGCCCTACAACCTAGATTTCTTTGTATGGATTATTTTTGGAAATACAATCAATGTCATATCAGTTGGGCCGTTGATTTCCTAAACTGCTCATCCTATTGTAATTTACGAATTCTGTTCGATCTTTGTTTGAATGCTGGTTACATTTCAGTGTTCTGAAATGTGTCTCTCGTCTAGGGTGAATATTACAATTGTTGCACCATCAGCATAATACAGGCTATAATATAGTACGGATCGTTGGTCAAACACAAACCAGATATAAATAGGCTAGTAAACTAAACACCCTTTACATACTGGGCTGAAACATACCTTAAAATTGTCATCTAAAAACGATAAATCAATAAGTTTGTTCTATGGTTAAACCACAGTTTAAATAAAATATTGTGATTCAATCCACCCAAGTAACAACCAACATTCCACTTCAACCACGTTTAGAGACATGTGTACTGTAGAGGAACACGGTGTTTTAGAAATCACAAATAACAATAGACCAAAATGACCGTTTTTAAACCCCGCAACACTAATCGCAACTCCTTTTGTAAGTTGATTTATTTGTTGAATATATCGCGTTTTGGGTGGACAATCAATTACCAGTGTGGGAGATGCACTAAGCACTTAAGGTGGGCGCCTCAAGGTCATGTGACCATATGGTGGCCGAGCCCACGCCGCCCAGCCCCGGCCTAGACATCTAATGGCCAAAATACTCAGCGACCATGGGTGCGTGAAGCCTGCAAACCGCTTCAAGAAAAAACCATGTTAAACATTTTAACTCAAATTTTCAGTAATTACATGAAAGATTACTTTCCTTTCAGAACGACAGATTCCAATACAGATCGAGAGTGTAGACTTCTGGTCCACTGGGATTACGCCACTAGTGCCAGGTAGTCACCGGCAAAGTGCCACTGCCAAATGTACCCTCTCAAAACGCACCGTCATCAATGATGCATTTCTTCAGTTCAGAAAATACTTCAAGTTAAACTTTAGTTTCTCCCTTCATTATCGGGTTAGGTTAGGTTACATTCCATCTTCCGCCCAAATACCTGGCAACCTGGGGTAGTGATAGCGCAATCCCGGTGCGTGCCAGGCTGATCTTCTTAACCCTTATATAAAATCCTTATATAATGGCGCATTCCCGGTCTACCCTAGACTTCAGGGCCGGACTTACCTATGGGCGGAGGGGGCGATCGCCCGGGGCCCCCGGGCCAAGGGGGGCCCCGACAGGGGCCCCCTTGCACAGTAGTTTTTATTAATAACTTAAAAAAAATTATCAGACACTTACCAAATGGCCTTCTTTTGTAACAGCTTTATTTTTATTTTCGTTATCGTATATTTAAGTTTATTGTTAGGTACATTTTAAGGCATTACTAGGAACAAAATTCTTGACCCTAAGGGACTTTTCCTCAGTTGCACTGGGCCCCACGCTTAGGCCTGGTTTACACGAGCATATGTGCTAGGCTGTGATGGACAAGTTTCAGTTTCAATGAAGCCGCTCGCCCGAACGTACGGCCGCGGCGAATGAGTTGAAGGGGGCCCCACGCTTGGGGCAAAAATACAATAAAAATGAAAACTCTAGCCCCAACGTAGAACGTAACTTGTAAAATTGTGTTGTGTTAAATGGAGATTCACTGGAGTTCAAATACTTTTAAAAATAAAAAAAAAACATTGCTCCGTTTATGTTTTATCAAATGTTATTCTTTTCTTTTACCTATAAGTATATACCAATCAGGATTTTAAGGGGTAGAAGTATATTATGCGTTCATTTAAAGGTTTTGTAAAATAGTAATTAATTAAGTTATGCGTCGAAATGCTGATCTCCAATTTAGTATTTGGAGTCAAAATCATGCAGCGCCAGTAAGATTCTTTACATCTATATAGACACTTTAAAACAACTAGAGTCGTCTGATGTTAACAAAAAAATTACATTTATTGGGAGTGGGCGGGCGTTGTCGACTGAAATCGTAAACAAGCGATAAGCAGAAGCAGCTGCAACAATCAATGATAATGAGCTGATAAGGGATCCTGTCTAGTCCTGTCAGTCTCACGCACTCGCATACACACACATAAAATGCCTTATCGCCTATCCAAAACAATTTAAATCACTTTACTCCCATAGTTTGTCATTTCCCTTTGAGACTAGTGGTCACGTCAAGTTGGTTGAAATTGTCTTACTTTTTGAGTTATTATATTGTAATTCTGCAAACTAACAGTACGAAAACAAAGCTGAAGTGAGTGTTGCATTCAATGCTATGTTTATGTTGTATTAATCGATATTGGAACCATTTAAACATCTTTTAGTTACTCATATAAATAGTTAGCTTGTGAGTGTTTATTAGACATTGCAAGATTTTGCTCGTCAATAAAAAACTCAAACTTGAAAGTCCTCATGGTAATTTTCATGCTAAGACTTAAACATATTATAAAAACGAGAATGCCATAGGTACCAAAACCATTATGAAAATAAAATAATCAAATAATCACACCTACATTGTTCATCACACATACAAATCGACGGCAATAATCGATAATTTAAATACGT